CCACGCGGGCCGCCAGCTCGATGACACAGCCCACCGCCATGCGTGCCGCCCCGGCCGAGTGCAGCTCGTTCCAAACGGTGTCACTGTCCACCTGAGCAAACAGCCGGCCCCGGGAGGAAGGCAGCGGAGAGGGGAGAGGGAGAGGGAGAGGGAGAGCATGAGAGAAAACAAACCCGTGAGGGAGGGCTGGCAGCGTGACAGCCCGTGTACAATAACATCAGTCTTCGTGCTGGCCAGCTGAAAGGCCTTCTGGACATGGCTTTGCTTATGCTTTTTCTCTGCACGGGCTTCTCCAATGGAAACACATTCCTGTCATGCCTCGCTGCCATTCCCTGTTTAGATTTCTCATTACAAACAGTGTTACATCGGCCGGGCCGGGCCTGCTCGCCAGACGCTCCTCAAGCCGGCTGGCGAGGTGACGGTGACCTGCCAGCACCGGCACCATAGGGAATGGCCATGGGAATGGCCACCGGGAATGGCCACCGGGAATGGCCACCGGGAATGTCCATTGGGAATGCCCATAGGGAATGTCCATAGGGAATGGCCATGGGAATGGCCACCGGGAATGGCCACTGGGAATGGCCACTGGGAATGTCCATCGGGAATGCCCATAGGGAATGTCCGATAGGGAATGTCCACCGGGAATGGCCACCAGGAATGCCAATAGGGAATGGCCACCGGGAATGGCCATCGGGAATGCCCAATGGCAATGGCCAATAGGGAATGTCCATAGGGAATGCCCATAGGGAATGCCCATAGGGAATGCCCATAGGGAATGGCCACCGGGAATATGCCCACTGGCAATGGCCATCGGGAATGCACAGCCACCGCTGCCCCAGCAGAGGAGCGGGCAGCCCGTGCCACTAAAGCTCTTCAGTGGCACATCAGTGGTCCCTTTGTTAAAAGCAAAACTGAGCAATAACCCCTCGTTTTTCCTTCCCGGCAGTTGTTTATAAGTGACTGAAACTGGAACAATGAATTTTTTTGAGTAATTTCACTCTTGCCATAGACAGAAAATGGAATTACATAAAGCACCTTGCTGTATCTCCAGTTTTGATGAACTAATAAGTTTTGGCTGGAAGGCTTTATTTTGTAACAGAAGAATGAGGGGTTTTAAAGCAGAGAAAGTTATCTTCTGCACCTTCTAAATGAGAAAGTGTGACATGGAATGTCATGTCACAAAATGACATGGAAATGACATTATGCAGTAAAGAATATACTACAAAGGTGTCTAAGCACCACTGCAGTACAGCTTCAATCAGTGTGCTAAAACTTTACTTTTGAAATCTAGTTTTATTAAGTATTTATTTGCAGAAACATACCAAAACATATCAGTGAAATGTTGTATTTCCCTATATATATATTATATATTATGTAAAGCAGACAGGTTGGTGTTAAATAGTCTGAAAAAGTTATGGAAAGAGACAGCCAGACTTCCTCGATGCTCCATGGGAAGTGCATTTAATTGTAGCATACCGTACAAATTTATCATGAAAAGAAAAACGTTTAGAAATAGACAAAATACTGTGGCAGATGCTATTTGGATGACTTCCAAGCACACTGAGACATGTTTTCAGTTTGAACCAGAAGCTTCTGTTCCTAATTCCTTAAAAAAAAAAAAAAAAAAAAAAAAAAAAAAAAAAAAAAAAAGGAAGAAAGAAATCAAGTAATTGAAAATGGATGCAACTGCTACTTGACTGTGGAAGTTCTGAGGAATTTCTCTGATTAGTCATTTGAAACAGAAAGAAGCTTGATCTAAGTTTGATCTTCTCTACACCTGTCAAATGTCTTTGCCAGTACTGTTACAATAATATTATATTTCAAGCTACTAAAATGATCTTATTTTTCAGTATTCTGGACCTGATTTTTCTATCATTTTGATCAGTCTTATGTGCATGCAGCAGAACTAATGAAAATAGTTTGTGTTTGCAGTAGACCTGAATAAGAAAACTGGATTTTGCTTGCAAAGTTTGAAATAACAGTAGTGACAGCACACTGTTTTCATCTGAGAAACTCAAAATGTTGTACAAACACAATTAAGTGTCATCAGCTGATATGAGATGATTTATTATACTTGTTTTGTAGCTTGGTAACTTGAGATTTAAAGAAATAAGTGTAAGTTTTGGAAAGATGCACACTAATCAATAGGTAACAAGAAATAAGAAAGAAACCAAGTAGTAAAAAAAAAAATGACATAAGTAACATTAGGCAGACCTTCAAGTTATCTCTTTATTTAAAAGGCTTTAAAGAAGCGGGATCAAATTTCATTTTTAAAGCTAATCAGGAGATAAATAAGTAGAGGTCATCGGTTAAATCAATTTAATCAAACCATAATAAAGTTTGAAAAATACTGTGCAGTATTTTAAGTAAAGAAGTATCAGCAAGAGGGCTGGGAGGGAGTACTTTCCTACCATATTTATGGGTAGCAAATTAAAGCTAACATGAAGGAGTGGCTGATGAAAATGATTCAATGGCAGCTGCTCCATACACCAGGGCATGAGCAGGAGCAACCTGCATCCTCAAAGGGACTATGATTCATTTCCAGGAAGGCTGATTAAGTTAAAATTGTAACCACAGCTTGAGAGTACCCACCCTTAAGACAGTTGTCTGCTCTGACACATGAGACTGCAGTCTCTCCATCTGCTGAATGCTGAGCATTGGCCAAGGTACAGCATTTATCATTTTCTGCTTTCAGCTGAGCGGGGGGAGACTGAACTGCGACAGTAAGACCAAGTATCTTCCACTGAAAAATTTCCCTCAGACCACTTGAATGACTGCTACCTTAATTTACCTGGACTGGTAGAAAAAATGGGCAATCAGGAAACAGAACAGTGTTTCCTGAGACTTTTTTTCAAAAATGACCACCTAAATGAGCACAGGAAATTCAGGATATTTTAACTAATCTCTTGGGCATGGTATCTGTAATGAGTGGTAAAGTCTTAAAATTAGGGATAGCCAACTGAAGCTGCATACTTTAATTCACAGTTACTAAAATACAACAAAAGTAATATAAATATATTAATATTTACTCTGAAAAGGCACAGTATTACAAACTTACTGTCAAATACTATTTCATATTCTTGCAAAATTAAAACTGAATTTCTGAGGAACATCTCATGAAGAACAACCTAAAAGAACTTGAATCATACAGCCAATGCTTTAGCTGTAACAACTAGAAAATGCCATCTCACTCCATTTTATATCTCTGTTAACTCTATGTATTCCCTTAAATATTTCTGGTGTTTAAACAGAGATTTTCTTCCAGTGTTACTCAGTGTTTACTTTGTAAATTGCTGTTGAAATACAGTGGTATAAATGGCAAATCCATTAAAATTATAGCTACTAGTTGGCCCAGTTGTCAGGTTGTATATGAAATGAAGCTCTGAAATCCTATTGATTTGCTTTTTTTATATTCCTGTGAGATGAAATGGTTGGATTTTGTACAAGTAAAGGGAATAAGATTAGACACTGTGGTTTCTGCTTCCAGTGCATGTATATATATCACATACATCTGACAGCCTATCTATATGCTGACTATGCATGAATTTGTGACAAATGTGATGCTTTCTGAATCACAGACTATGACGAAGTCAGATGGAATGTTATAAGAGGTTATTTTTGTTCAAGTGCTTTGGAGCAGCCAAAAATGTCAGTAAAAAACCTGTCTGGATTAGGATTGTTTTTCAGACAATGTTAAACAAAATCTACAGAAAATACAGCATTTGTAGCTGAATTCTAACACAGAATCTTAGCCCTTTTTTTCTGTTTAATTATGTTTAATATTAAATAATAATTCCATTTAGGAATCCTCTAAAATTGTCAAGATAGAGGGATGTTCATAATTGAACCAAATGAAAAAGCATTTTTTTAAAGCATCAAAATGTCAGTGTTGAACCATGAGCATACCACACTTTTTGTTATCAAAAATCCTATCACTACTATAGTTCTTCAAAGAAGAATTGTGCATGGTGGGGCCAAGAGCCAGAGAACACGAGCCCTATCTGAACACTGACTAACACACATATGGATTTACTTCACTCCCAGTTTCCTGAATGAGCACTGCAGGTTTCAGGCTTTTTCAAGCACATCTAGTATAGCTCAATCATTGACATGTGTAGCAAAGCTAATACTCTGCAAAGCTACAGATGATAGAAATTAAGCTACCTGTCCCTGAAGTGGATGTGGAGGCATTAAAGAGGAAGAGAATGACTTAAGTGAAAAGAAATGTAGGTAACTTCTCCTGACTGAATGAATTAATATTTCAAGCCCCGTATCAAGAAATTCTCTGCTTTACACTGGAAAAAACTTGCTATGAATGTTTCCTGTAAGAAATATCTATGTGATAATATCATGTTCACAAGGAAGACTTCAAGCATACTCAAAACAAGCTAAGAAAGGAGCCTTACAGCAGAGATACTTCAACAGGCAGAAAGCTTGTACTATAACAACTTCTGGACTGGAAAATTTTGTTTTATGGAAGATTGACTGTAACGTTTAAAAGTTACCAGCTCCTTATACTGTGCTCAGGTTGTGGCATATGTGAAAATGGGGAGGAAAGATGCAGCAATATACCTGAGGGAGAGATTCCTTACTTAAAGATCTTTCTGCAATCACTGCAGTTGACAAAACTGGAAATGTTCCTTGTCTTGCTATTTAAAAGTATCTGGAACCTACCTCGGGGGGAGCAAAAAATGAGTGTGATAATGCTGAGGCATTTGTAAGATAATAACTGCTTTTGTTTTACCTGTCCTTCCTGGCTACAACCCTTCTTTATTCCTCATCCTCTATTTCAGTCCTCTTTTTTTCCAGAAATCTCCTGGGATCTGCCAAGTGGTCATTGTATCACAGCTCTACTGAGCAGAGATGCTGCTCGCAATCTGACAAACCTTCCACTTATTTACACCCTGCATGATGCATTCATCTGTGCGAGTTAATTATCTTTCCTAAATTATTGTAAACTCTGAAGTTTCCTTGAATACATCCCCACTGATAACTATATGACGATATCAAAGACAGCCTGAGCTACTGCTTTGGGATGAATTCAAAGCATCCTAGAACTTTCTCTCCCCACTCCTCCTCCCACCCACAAGC